CTGAAAAGTAGATGTGCACGATGCAGCTGCTCCCCCACAAAGATTCAGAATTAGGGGTTGCGCCTCTCAGATTTCCTTGAAGTTGAAGGGAAGGCATCGATCATAATTTGCGTTAAAAGTTGGGTTTCTAAGAAAACCACTGCAGTCTGATTTCCTGGTTAAGATTTCAAATGCAGCATGCAAATACCATACCGGTATTCATATACTAAGGGTACCGTCACTTTGAAGTGGCACCCGGTTAGGTATTTTAGAGGCACTTTGGCTCGAGGGTCACAACCCCCCCCCCCCCCCCCCCGGCCCTTGTCATCACAAAAATGGTCAAGGCCCCGAGCCAGTTGTCCACCAACCGGGCCTCGATCTTGGAGAAAAGCACTGTCATATACATGTTTTTGCCTCTTTTTATACGTCGAAAAGTGCATTTTTGTAGCATTCAAAGGGTAGATGTTCGCATCAGTGGGCAAATGAGGATAAAATAGCGTGTAAAAGATGATTCTGCACCAAAGATCCGGCCGGGGCTGCGCCCCAAGTGAAAAGCCTCAAGCCCGCCCCCCCTCCCCACTTTCAGTTGGATAAAGCAACCTAAGCCCCCCCCCCCAACAGAATACCTAAGGGGGTGCCACTGCAAAGTGTAATTAGGGGGCTCTTACAGAGTCTTCAGGACCCATCCCGGCGATCTGATTGGTCGAGTGACGTAAGCTTAACGCCGTCACTCCACATGTACATTGCAGCTGGGTTGGTGTTAATAATAAGGACCGATGCAGACTGCGATGTGGTGTCAAGGCTCCGCACCGAGCCGCAGTCTGAATGGGTTGGCACTTCCTCTTCCTTTTCGGTGGTGATAACGCTATACTCACAGGCAGAACTGTGAGTGGTCGCACCGATTTATTGTTTGTGTCAATGTCCCAGCACAGCAGCTTGTTTTTGAAAAGTGACACTATGAGCAACGTTTGGTGCTCAAATGCAGGCCTGGAGGCCTGTTTGCTGAGCTCGCACCGATATTGCAACTGGTGTCAAGCAGTCAAGTTGAGCGTGCACCGTTTGAGGTCGTTTGCACCAGGTTCGACAGTTCTGGTGACCGATTGGAAGTGTCAGTAGATGGGGGAATGTGCTTCGCTTGCCTCTGTTGACACTATACAGCATCCGGGGGCCCAAGAGCCCCCGGCACGCCTAGTTAACCACAAGGTCCATAACCCTCGAGAGTCGAAGTCCATAACCCTCGAGGTCCAGCGCTCAACATACCCGCTGTGCGTTGTTGGTCCCCAATTCTGACCGATTAAACCTCGTTGTGCAGGCCACAGCGGTGGGGAGAAGGACGCGTGCAGCAGTGCCGTGGTGCTCGTCTGCTTTGCCAGCCCGCTGTGCCGTTGCGCTGCATGGTTGTTCCCCCCTGCGTGGCACCATGTTGGCCCGTCGCCTGTGGCCTCTGAGAGCGCGGGCCCTCGCGGAATGGCCAGCGGTGGTCACGAATGCAGGCGATGCCGTAGCCAGCCAGCAAGGTATGCCAATCAAGATGCAGCGGGACGCCCCTCGATCTCGCTGCCGGTTTTCTTGCAGCAGCAGCTTGGATCCTGCGGAGGGGTGCTGCACTGAGGCTGACGCGTGTGGTGCCGCTTGCAGGCCTGCCCGGCAGCGTGGCGGGGCAGCGCGGCATGGCGGTCATGGCGAGCGGGCTGCACCCGGCCGTCAAGGGCGCCGGGGGCCGCTCCTCTGTCAGGTGCGCTCCAGCACTGTGTCGCAGATCTGGCAGCGCTTCAATTGCAATGGCACATCAACTGCTTCCTGCATTCATCTGTGCTGAAGGATGCGGCCTGTCTTTACGCTATGAAGAGATTGCGGCGCTGATGTGCCCCTCTTGCTGCCTGGTGCAGCGGCTTGACGGTCACCGTGTTTGGCGCCACCGGCTTCCTGGGCCGCTACGTGGTGCAGCAGCTGGGTGAGCAGCGCATCTGTGACTGTCCATCGCATCAATCATTGATGGGCGCGGCAGGCTGTGCCCCTGCTCCAGGCCCCTCCTGTCCTCCTCCCTTCTTTGTATGGCGCTGCCTTCTGTCCTGACTGCTGCCGCATCGCTCACTGGTGGCCGCGCTGTCTCCCCGCTGCAGCGCGCGTGGGGTCGCAGGTGGTGGTGCCGTACCGCGGGATCGATGATGAGTACCGCCACCTCAAGCCCATGGGCGACCTCGGCCAGGTGGGCACCCAGCGCTCTCCGCCATCACCGTGCTATCCCCTGCTGGCTACCGCCACTTGTGCTTGCTCCCCCGCCGCTGCTGGGCCTGTGCCAGTGGCTGCGGCCTGGGGAAGCTCCCCCTCCTTCCTCTTGGCCTTCCCCCGTGCTTGCCCGCCTGACCCGCTCCCCGCGTGTGCTGCTCCAGATCGTCCCCATCCACTACGACATCCGCAATGACGCGCTGCTGGCCGCTGCTCTGGCGCGCTCCAATGTGGTCATCAACCTCTTGGGTGAGCCCGCTCCCCCGGGCCCCACGCTCGCCGCATTCCTGCAGCAGAGCTTCTGCGATTGCCGGGTGGCAGGGTCTGCTGCAGGGGCCCCCTTCTTGATGAATCTGCGCTGGGGTGTGTGCAGGCAGGGACCATGAGACGCGCAACTTCCGCTTCCAGGATATCAACGTCGACTTCCCTACACGCCTGGCTCAGGTGCGCTCCCGCCTCCCGAGACTAGAATTTCTGGGCGTCAGGATTGCTCATGGCAGATGCCCTTCAGCAGCTTGGCGCCGAGGTGGGGGCCACCCTCTGCGCAAGTGCCTCCCTGGCATGAACGCCCCCCTTTGCCGCTATGCCGTGGGTGCTGATCTGACGCGCTGCGTGTGGCTGCTGCAGGCGTGCGCGGCCCACGGCGGCATCCAGCGCTTTGTCCACCTCTCGTGCCTCAACGCCTCCCCGGAGTCGCCCTCCGCCCAGCTGCGCACCAAGGCCGCCGGCGAGGCCGCCGTGCGCGCCATCCTGCCCGAGGTGACCCCTGCGCCCCCTCGCACGCGCCGCGCCTCCGCTCACCTGCCCACTCGCATTGCGCGGCCATGCTCTTCACTGCTGCTCCTGCCGTTGTCCGCCCTGCACCTCTAGATGCGCGCCTGCCTGCGCGGCCGCATTGCGTGCTGCCTGGGCTGACGGCTGCTGTGTGTGCAGGCGGTCATCATGCGGCCGGCGCCCATGTTTGGCACGGAGGACCGCCTGCTCAAGCACATCGCGTCACTCGTCAAGAAGATGCCCGCGGTGCCCCTCATCGGGGGGGGTGCCACCAAGTAAGCCACTGCCGCGCCCCCTCTGCCGAAACAGTGACTCGGGGCTCGTCCTGCCCGCCCGTGCGCTCCCCCGCGTGCCTGGCCTGGGCTGCCTCGTTGCGCTGCTGACCTGGCGCGTGCGCGTGCAGGGTGCAGCCGGTGAGCGTGCTGGACGTGGCGGCGGCCGTGCTGACGGCGGTGCGCGACGACGGCGCTGCGGCGGGGCAGACCTTCACGCTGGGCGGGCCGGACGTCTTTACCTACAAGCAAGTGGTGAGCGGCCCCCCTGCGCCCGCCCCCCCACGCGCCTCCTCTGTCGTGCAGCCGCCCTGCGGCCAGGCCTGCCCGTGTTGCGGCGAGCTGCTGCCCCGCGTGCTGACCCGTGTGGTGGCGCTGTGTGTGTGCAGTTCCAGCTCGTGTTCGACACCATCCGCGAGGCGCCCTCCACGGTGGACCTCCCCTTCCCCCTCGCCAAGGTGAGCGCCCGCGCTGCGCCTCCCGCCACTCTCCTACCGATGTGTTGCAGACAAGGGGGAGGCCTCCGCCCGCCCCCACTCCCGACCCGGAGGCGCGCGTGCTGCTGGGCCAGGACCCATCGCCATGGGCTGGGGCGAGCGCCTTTGGCCGCACTTGCTTCAAACCAAATTCCGTGCTTACCATAACCTGCGGGTCAGGAGTCGCACCCAGACACTGCAGAGCGCACTGCCCCACCCTGGGGTTTGCCCTCTCCTCTCGTGCGCGCCCACATGGGCGGCTCCATTGCCCTTTCGCCTGCTGACCGGCACACGCGCTGCACCAATGTAGCCCTCCCTCTGATACGGTTGTTGCACTTGGCGTTTCTTGGTCAAAGCCGAGCCCGAGCCTGATCGATCTCTAATACAGTCGACATCAAATCCGATCAGGCTCGGGCTCAATCTACTTTCGAAGACGATGATCGAGTTGGCGGCGCCTGGACCCGAAGGTAACCAATGCGAACGGTACCGGGTCAAAAGCAAGCTTCATCTGGCTGTGAAGGATGGGCTCTTTACTCCCAGAGATCATGGTGCGAGCACCCTCTGACCGGCCTCCCCCTGTCTGCTGCTCTTGGTGTGCGTGCAGCTGCTGGCCCTCCCGCGCGAGTGGCTGCTGCCGCGGCTGCCCACGCCGGTGCCCAGCCCGCCCATGTTCACCGCGGACTACATCCACCGCCTCGAGCAGGACCAGGTCGTGCCGCCCAACTGTGAGCACCGCGCACCCCCTCCCGCCCCCCCTGCTCCCTGCTTACCGCTCTCCAGCCGCCGTGCTCGCCCCCTCGTCCGCTGTGCCCCGCCTGCTCTCTCTTGTGTTGAGGCCGTGCGGGTGGCTGTGTCGTGCAGGCCCGTCGTTCCCGGAGCTGGGCCTCACCCCGCGGCGCATGGCGGGCATCAACATCGAGTACCTCTTCTCGTACCGCGCCGGCGGGCCCGACAAGGGCACCACGCTGGTGCGCCGCCCGCCCTACCGCCCCCACCCCGAACGGCCTCGCCTTCGCCCTCCGCTCCGCTCCATGAGTTGCCCGTGCACTGCGGCGCTGGTCTGTTTCTCTACTGCTATTGACGACGTGTGCCGCGTTCTTGCAGGGGGAAGCCACGGACCCCACTACCGCGTCGGGCATCTGAGGGGGGGCAAGCGGCAGCGGCAGCGGCGGGCAGAATGAAACATGGCCCTAGCATCGCGATTGGGGAGGAAACAAGTCTGCTGGTCATGCTGGACTTCGTAGGTCTGCAATAGCTTTGACGTCCATACATCAGTCGTTCATCTGCTTAAGTATTGGAGGGCGCACAAAGGAGACCCGTCTTGGGTAATGACCAAAAAAAAAACGATTTCGGTGACAGTGACTCGGAGGCCCGGCGTCTTTGTCATATGGTGTCGAATTTTACTGACTTAAAGAGGCACGAGACAATCCAGGAAAACGCAGATGTCATGCGAAGGTCACGCATGTGAATAATAACCTTGTCGCATGGTGGCATACCCTCTTACATTTCATGGAGAAGGTCACATGTTCTAATTATATACCCTGGGCCGCGCTGAGCCATCGGGCAATCTGCTCCGGTGAGACCGGGGTACAGTTATTGAGTACTGACTCTGCAGCTAGCTTACTATGGCTGCAAGTCATGTCCAGATCAAGTCCTAGAATCCTACCACCTACGTCATGCAACAAGCACCCAAACGGAGATCATTGAGCCGCGCTATGCTAAAAACTGCACTCGGAGCCATGCCCAGCTGCAGGCCGTCGGTGCACATAGATCCATGCGTGGGCATGCATGAAACGGCTGTCAAACTAGAGCAGAATATGACCAACTTATCGTGCACGTTATTCAATACAATGTTTAATAACAGTGCACTCCCTTGAACTTCGGAATGCGTTGCTGCAACACATTGTTGTATCAATCGATACATCACAATGGTTGCAGATGGTAAGACCTGGAACTATAATCATCCCTACTGTACAATATGAAAAGTCAACATAAGATGTGTTAGCCATCCCAACAGTCTTATGTGGCTGATCTGGAAGACCCCCTCCCCATATCGCTCCTCACCGAAGAAAGAGGGGTAGCCGAATTTCGCGCGGGGCCACTTTCTCGGGCATTGGCCGCAGCGGCACGATGGCCTCCTTGTCAATGACGGAGTCGATGATGCCGTACTCCATGGCCTCGATGGGCGACATGTAGCGGTCGCGGTCCGTGTCCAGCTCCACCTGCCACGCGGGCCGCCCCGTGATGTCGGCCATGATCTTGGTGACGTTGGCCTTGTGGTACATGATCTCCTTGGCCTGGATCTCCACGTCGATCGCCTGCCCGCTCGCGCCGCCCAGCGGCTGGTGGATCATGATGCGCGTGTTGGGCATGGCCAGCCGCTTGCCCTGCGTCCCGCCTGCACCACAGCCACCCCCGCGCCACCCGTCAGCCCAAGCGGCAGCCCCGGAATGATCCACAGCAGGAGGGCACAGACAGCGCGCTGTGCACTTGCGTCTGTCGAGACCGCACGGGCTGCTCCTGCCCCTGCAACTCGGCGGATGCACGCTCTGGTGCCCCTGTAAGCATGTGAGCAGCACGGATGCGAGGGAGGGGCCCCTGATAAACCACTCTAGCACCAACGTTCAGACCTGGCCACCACGGCACAAGGCCGGCGGAGCACCCGCGGCACAGCCTGCCGGGATTGCCTTTGTGGTGCAGGCCGAGCAGTGCGCCGCCGTCAAAGGGGCCTGTTGTGGAGCAGCTTGACGCGCAGCATGGTGCGGCGGGGCGAGGGCTGACCTGCGAGGACGAGCGCGGCGGTGGAGGCGGCGATGCCGAGGGCGATGGTGGACACGTCGGCGCGCACGAGCTGGATGGCGTCGTAGATGGCCATGGCCGCGTTGAGGCTGCCCCCGCTGCAGTTGATGAGCAGCCGGATGTCGCGCTTGTGGTCGGTGGCGTCCAGCAGCAGCAGCTGCGCAATGATGGTGTCCGCCACAAAGTCGTCGATCTGCACCCACCAGCCACAGTCAGGCCACAGCACACTGACATGGGCAACTCCGTTGTGCGCGCCGCGCTGGCTGGCGGGCCCCCTCTCCTGCCACACCTCCACCCTGCCCATCGCAGCACTCCGCAACAGTGCCATGCTCCTGTGGCCACTTTGATGCACCGCCATGTCGCAACTTCCATGCAACGTGGACCTTACACAAGGTGCCGCATGCTGGAGCTGTAGAGGGCCCCGCACACTAGCAGGCCACTCACTCGGCTCCGACCAGCTGTCTAACTCAGCGCCTCCATTCTGTGCCAGCCCGTGCTTCAACATGCAGCTCAACGTCCTCTGAGGTGGCAGTCCCCCCCTACCCCACGGTGCTCCAGCACCGCGCAGACAGAGTGCTGGTCCGCCACAAGCAGGAGGCACCACAACACACGCGAGAACTCATCGGCGGCGCACGACAGAAGAACCCCTCTGTGATGCGTCCATGGTGGATCACAATTGAGGCAGCGAGTGGACCATTACCAACAAGCACGCCCGTGCTCACCTGATTCCCCAGGAAGACCACCCGCTGCCGCAGAAGGGCCGTCATGGGGTCCGCCCCGCCCTGCTGTTGCGCGCCCCCATACGCAGCACGCGGCAGCCCCTCCGCTTGCGCCTCTGCTGCACTCCCCATCTGCGCCGCAAAAGGATTGCTGCCAGCGCTGGCAGCAGCGGCAGCAACACAGCGGGACTGCCGCACTGGGCGCCGCAGGCGAAACGGCGACGGACACTGGGGGGGGCACCCAAAGGCGCCGAGGTAAGCAGGGGAGAGCTGCTTGCACGGCAGCTGCGCCTCCGGACAGGCCAGCCCCCGCAGGCAGGGAGCAGCACCCAGGCGAGCAGCAGCAGAGAGCGCCATGGCGAGCAACAGACTAGCAGATACGCTTCTAATGGCGGACTCGAGACTCGACTGTGCTGGCCCTGCCGCCCTGCGCAGCCTCAGGAGTCAGGGCTGGAGACTGGAGCTACCGGTGTCAAGAGAACACCACTGCATGGGAGCTACTAGTACTAGGCTAGTGACCGGGACGGTGCCACTGAGTGATTCGGCATGACATGGGCCCGGCCGTGCTGTGCGTACCGTTCTCGGCCTTCAAAATCCCCATGCTAGTTTCAGGATGATGGACAGTCATATCAATCAAAGGGTAAATAGGGGGGACCGTATCCCGCATGGGATCACCCCCGTTAGCTTGCAAATTGATTGGATGGCCATGAGCCCCACATGCCAGCTGGACGCCCAGCTGGACGCCCATCGAAATTTGCCCTGAAAAGGACCAGCGGTATACCGTAGTGACACTGACAGTGTCTGGAGGAGGCGCATTGGAAGTTGGAGGAGGTTGCAGGCGCCACAGTCCCCTCCCATTGTTTTCCGGGGCTTGCTGACGACCGTTTGGTGGGAGAGTGGAGGAGCCCCTCTGCATTGCATGTGGGCGGCCGCGCCAGTGACCCCGGCAGCGGCATAGCGGAGCGGAAGGGAACCCGGTGAGAGCTGCCCTCCCAACAACGCCCTGCTAGCGACCCGCAGCACCAGTGCACAGCAAGGCGGCGCTGGATGCCTGATTGGCCGGTGGTGGGCAGTGTGCATTGCCTGCCTAGAGCTGGCGCTGCGCGTGCATTGGCGCTGACACCGCTGACACCGCCCCCGCTGCTGCCTCTTGCAGACGCCCAACATGGTGGCCACTCTGGCGCACGCAGTAGGAACAGCGCAGGTAACGCAGCGCCCTTTTCCGTTCTTTCTCTGGGGCTGCCGGCATTGAGTCCCCCCTCCACGCGGGTATGTGCACCTGCGAGCAGCGTCTGTGCACGGGGCGTGCGCTCTGGGCGTGTGCTGCTCGTTGGCCCTTTTATTTGGCTCATCCCCGTGTGCACTGTTGCAGCCCCTGTGCCGCCTCCCTTCCTCGTCCTATGCGCGGGCCCCCTCCGCTGCTGTTCCCCTGCTGCCGCTGCGGCCGCGCGTGCGCTGCAATGCAGGTGAGAGCGCTCGCGACCAGATCTGGCCCCGCGACGACAGGCGTCGCCTCGCCCTCACTGGGCTGCCAGACTTGTGGAGGCGCCAGACCCATACCAGCCAACATGGCGGGACAATGCCGCAGTGCCTGGAGATTGCTCCCTGCTTTGCCTTTTCATCTCATGATCAGCAGCAGCAGGCTACCCCCTGCCACCCCCCTTGCCGCTGCTGCCTCCCCCTCCTGCCCGCGTTGACTCTGCGCTCCCCTTCCTGTGCAGCAGCACCCAGCTTTTTGCCCTACCCCCTCGCCTCTGCTGGCTCGCTAGGCGCCTCGTCGCGCCTGTTGCGCAGTGCCGCCCTGCGCCATGGGCCCGCTGCGCTGCGCCCTGCGGCGGCCCCTGCGCGGGGGGCGGGGGTGCGGTGCGCGTACGAGGGCGAGAAGGTGCTGGTGGCTAACCGCGGCGAGATTGCGGTGCGCATCATCCGCACGTGCAAGGAGATGGGCATCCCCGTGGTGGCTGTGTACAGCACCATCGACGCCAACGCGCTGCACGTGTCGCTGGCGGACGAGGCGGTGTGCATCGGCGAGGCGCCGTCCAAGGACAGCTACCTCAACATCCCCAACATCGTGGCCGCCGCCATGAGCCACAACTGCACCATGCTGCACCCCGGCTACGGCTTCCTCGCAGAGAACGCCACCTTCGCCGACATCTGCCTCGACCACGGCCTCAACTTCATCGGGCCCAAGGTGAGGCCACCGCGCGCGGCTGCCTGCCCCGTCCAGCGCAGGCTCCGGCGTGGGCCAGAGCGGGACACGCGTGCTTGCTTGCTGCATGATGCCCTCTCTGGCTGGCAGCCTTCAATGCTGGAGTACTCCCCAAGCTGCATCAGCGCACGCTCCTGTCAGCAGGCGCGTCACACGAGGCCGCTGCTGGCCGGCCTGTGCGCCAGCAGGCTGTGCGTCTGTGCGGTGCGCTGAGCGGTGGTGTTGCTGCTGCGTGGTGCAGTCGGACAGCATGCGGCTGATGGGCGACAAGGCGACGGCGCGCGAGACCATGAAGGCGGCCAGCGTGCCCACGGTGCCGGGGTCGGACGGGCTGATCAGCGACGTGGGCGAGGCGGAGGTGCTGGCGGCGCAGATCGGGTTCCCCATCATGATCAAGGCCACGGCGGGGGGCGGCGGGCGCGGGATGCGGCTGGTGCAGGAGCCGGCCGACTTTGTGAAGCTGCTGAACCAGGCCAAAAGCGAGGCGGGCGCCGCGTTCGGCAACGACGGGTGCTACCTGGAGAAGTACATCACGAACCCGCGGCACATCGAGTTCCAGGTGCTGGCGGACAAGCACGGCAACGCCATCCACCTGGGCGAGCGCGACTGCTCCATCCAGCGGCGCAACCAGAAGCTGCTCGAGGAGGCGCCGTCGCCCGCGCTCAGCGACAAGCTGCGCAAGGCCATGGGCGACGCGGCGGTGGCGGCCGCGAGCAGCATCGGGTACGTCGGGGTGGGCACCATCGAGTTCCTGCTGGACGAGAACGGCACCGACTTCTACTTCATGGAGATGAACACGCGCATCCAGGTACGCCCACGCAAGGCGAAGGGGCTGGATGCCTGCACTCAGAGGCAGCAGCTCTATATGGGGGCCGCGCAGGCCCAAGCGGGAGCCTCCTTGTTTCTCGCAGCCACGATGCCATTGACGTCGAGGCTCCAGCGAGGGGTGGCTGGCCATTAGCAGACCGCCTCTTTGGGAGCATTGTAAGCCCATCAGTCCAGTTGGGCCGGGGTGCGGCGGCTGCTGCTGAGGCGCGCGCGCGTGGCTGGCTGCGTGTGCGCAGGTGGAGCACCCCGTGACGGAGATGATCAGCGCCGTCGACCTGATCGAGGAGCAGATCCGCGTGGCCATTGGCGAGAAGCTGCGCTACACCCAGGTCGGTGCACCCCGCCTGCGCCCCTCCTGCTGCTGCATCCTGCGCCGTGCTGCTGCCCGTCCCGCCTGCTCCCTGCTACGAGCCAGTTTCATGGTTGTGCGCTGAGCTGAGCGCGCCTGCTTGGCTGGCGTGTGTGCAGGACGACATTGTGTTGCGCGGCCACTCCATCGAGTGCCGCATCAACGCGGAGGATGCCTTCCAAAACTTCCGCCCCGGCCCAGGTGAGCCCGCCCCCGCCGCCGCTGCTGCCCTCCTCCCCTTGCTGCGGGCCTGCCTCTCGGGTGGCGCGCCTGCTGGGCATCGCCGGCTGCGTGCTGACCCGTGCTGCGCGTGGCGTGCAGGGCGCATCACGCGGTACCTGCCGGCGGGGGGTCCCTTCACGCGCATGGACAGCCACGTGTACGCCGACTACCTCGTGCCGCCCAGCTACGACTCCCTCCTCGGCAAGGTACAGCCCGCCCCCGCGCCTCTTCTCCCCAGTGCACACATCAAATGGCCCTCCGCTGGGCAGCCCTCCTAGGAGCGCCGCCCCCGCTTCTTTAGCCACCCTTTCTTCGACGTCGCTCGCCCTCTACCCGCTCACTCCCGGCCACTGCTGGCATTCTCGACGCCCCGTGCGTCTGGCCACGCACGAGCCGTCACCTGCCCCGATGGGCGCACCAGAAGGCTCGCCCGCAGCAGCAAGACCAGAACTGCTCTGCCTGGCACGAGTCCTCACCCTCCCCCACACCTCCCGCTCCCCTCACTGGTCGCCTCGCACGTTGTTCCACCAGCCCTCGCTCCGCCCCGCTCATCTCTTGCCTCCAACTTCAGCGCTCGCACTTGACGGCCCCCCCAGTGGCCGGACCCCGCGCGCGGGCCCCATCTCGTCCTTGCACCTCCATGCGTCTCCCCTGTTGCCTCCCGCCTCGCCCCTGCCATTCCTCACGCACCCCGCCCCCCCCCTGTCTCGCTCTCGCGCGCTGCTCCCTCGTCCCCTCTCCCACGCCCGCCCTGCGCC